CAATGAGATATCACCTCACACCTGTCAGAATGGCTGAAATTTAAAACATGAGAAACCACAAGTGTTTGCTAGGATATGAAGAAAAAGGTACACTTGTGCACTGTTGCTGGGAATGGAAACTGGTACAGCCACTATGTAAAACCATATAGAGGTTCCTCAAAAATTAATAATACAATCACCATATGCTCCAGTAATTCCACTACTGGGTATTTACCAAAAAAATATATAAAAACACTAACTTGAAAAGATATGCACACACCTATGTTTATTGGAGTATTATTTACAATACCCAATATATGGAAGCAACCCAATGTCCATCAATAGATGAATGGATAAAGACAATGTGGTACATATATACAATGGAATATCACTCAGCCATAAAAAAGAATGAAATCTTACCATGTGCAACAACATGGATGATATAGAGGGTATAGTATTAAGCGAAATAAGTCAAAGAAAGACAAATACCATATGATTTCACTCATATGTGGAACTGAAGAAAACAAAGAAAAAAAGTGACAAACAAATGACTCTTAAACATAGAGAATAAACTGGTGTTTACCAGAGGAGAGATGGGTAGATGAAGTAAGTAAAGGAGACTAAGAGTACTCTTAATGTAAAGAATTGTGGAATCACTATATTGTACACCTGAAAATAATATAAAACTGCATGTTAATTATATCAGAATTTAAAAATTAATTTAAAAAATAAGAATGTCAAAATCAACTTATGAAAACAGAATACATATATCCACTTTCTCTGTGAAAGGGCCTGGAAGCAAAGACTTCCTGGTGGCAATGAGAACATCTTATAACCAGATGTTGGTTTCTAAACACATTATCTCATTAAAATGAATCAGAACTCCTTGGAGAAATAACTGATTCTTGGGTTAGGAAAAAGACAGTGCAAAGTAAACATTCAACATCTCATAAGGGCAGAAAGTAATGAAGTGCTCTAGAATGAGGACTTTTCAAAAGATCAGCGGAAGCCATACAGAAGGGGCTCCCACTGGCCAACAGTGATACAAAAGAGCACTGAAATAAATAATGATAGGGGCACCTGGGTGGCTCAGTCGGTTAAGTGTCTGACTTTAGCTCAGGTCATGATCTCACAGTTCATGGGATTGAGCCCCCCATCAGGCTTGTGCTGACAACTCAGAGCCTGGTACCTGCTTCGGACCCTGTGTCTTCCTCTCTCTCTGCCCCTCCCCTACTCATGCTCGCTCACTCGCTCTCTCTCAAAAATAAACATTAAAAAAAGTTTAATGATAGAATTATTCTTGGCAAAGAAAGAAATTACTACATACTAATATAATCAAATGAAGAGAGAATGGCATGTAAAGCCCTCCCTTATAGTAATATACCATCTAAAACATAGAAGTATAGATTATCAGCATTTGGAACTCACCAAAGTAATACATCATTAGCAGAGAATCATGAATGGATACTGTAGTATGCAGAATTTCTACAAATGGCCCCCCAAAATTTCATGCCCCACAATATCCAGAATCTGTGAATGTGAGGAAATGCTACTTTCATGATTGTGCTATATAAAATGGCACAGCTGGCCTTAAAAATTGGAGGCGGGGGGCACCTAGGTGGCTCAGTCAGTTAAGCGTCCGAGTTTGGCTCAGGTCATGATCTCACAGTCCGTGAGTCCTAGCCCTGCATCAGGCTCTTTGCTGACAGCTTGGAGCCTGGAGCCTACTTCGGATTCTGTGTCTCCTCTCTCTCTGCCCCTCCCCTGCTCACACTCTGTTTTTCTCTCTCAAAAATAAATAAACATTAAAAAAATTGGAGGGAGGGGTGAAAGGGATTTGGCTAATCACATGAGTCCTTAACAGTGGGTAAAATTCTCCAGATGGTGGCAGAATTGACAGAAGTAAGCAGAAGAGTTAGAGAGATACAAATCATGAGAAAGACTCAACATACTGTTGCTACCTTTGAATATGGAGGGGGTCATGTGAGAAGAAATACAAATAGCCTTAAGAAGCTGAGAGGATCTTGTCCAATGACCACAAAGAAATGGGAACCTCAGAAGTACAACCACAAGGACTTGAATTCTGCCAACAATCTGAATGAGCACAGAAATGGATTTTCCCACAGAGCCTTCAAAAAGGAATGCAGTCTTTATGTTTTTAAGTTTATTTATTTATTTTGTGAGAGACAGAGACATAACATGTGAGCCAGGGATGGGCAGAAAGAGGGAGAGAGAGAGAATCCCAAGCAGATTCTGCACTATTAGCGCAAAGCCCAATGCAGGGCTCAAACTCATAAACTGTTGAGATCGTCACCAGAGCTGAAACCAAGAGTCGGATGTTTAACTGACTGAGTCACCCAGGCACCCCAGAAAGGAACATAGTCATTTTTTTTATGTTTATTTATTTTTGAAGGAGAGAGAGAAAAAGAGTGTGAGCAGGGGAGGGGTAGAAGAGAGAGACACAGCCTAAAATTTTTTTAATGTTTGTTTATTTTTGGAAGAGAGCAAGAAAAAGAACATAGTCTTAATGACACTTTCACTTTAGCCCTGTGATACCCTGGGCAGAGGCCAGAAAAGGTCACTGGACTCCTGACCTACAGAAATGTGAAATAATACATTTGGATTATTGGAAGCTGCCATGCTTGTGTTAATTTGCAACAGAAAACACATAAATTAACTTTTGATGAGGAAAAAGAATACCTAGTTTCACAGTAATCTCCTACAAATTACTTATTAGTTACAAAGGAATAAATCATTAAGTTTACAGTGGATTAATCTAGCAAATCAACCATAACAAAGTATCCTAAGTTAACATCACCAATAAAAGAAAAAAATTACAGGGGTGCCTGGGTGGCTTAGTCAGTTAAGCATCTGACTTCATCTCAGATCATGATCTCACAGTTCGTGGATTCAAGCCCTGTGTCGGGCTCTGTGCTGACAGCTCAGATCTTGGAGCCTGCTTCAGATTCTGTGTCTCCCTCTCTGTGCCCCTTCCCCTCTTGCACGCTGTCTCTCTCTCAAAAATACATACTATTTTTTTAAAAAGTGTTATAAAAAGAAAAAAATTACAGGGGCACCTGGGTGGCTCAGTCGGCTAAGCATCTGACTCTTGATTTCAGCTCCAGACATCATGGTTCATGGGTTTGAGCCCTGCATCAGGCTCTGTGCTGATAGTGGGGAACCTGCTTGAGATTCTCTGCTTCCATCTCTCTCTACCCCTCCCTTGCTTGTTCTCTCTCTCTCAAAAATGAATAAAAACTTTAAAAAAAAGAAAAAAATTACATCATGTGTCTTGTGAGATGATGTATTGACAACAACACAGCACCACTTACATAGTAACCTTGACCAAAAAAATAAATAAGTAATTTGAATCTACCTATTCAGACAAATTCACATCAAGGGTCACCAATGTAATAGACCTTTGCATTTCAAAATTGTCATGGTTCCAACAGAGAAATGGTTTTAGATTTGAAAAGACCAAAGAGACCACTATACACAATATGTTATCTTCAAGCAGATCCTTGACTTGGGAGGAACAACTTATCTATAAAAACTGTTGGGGCAATTTCTGAATTAAGAATAAGGACTATGGGGCGCCTGGGTGGCACAGTCGGTTAAGCGTCCGACTCCAGCCAGGTCACGATCTCGCGGTCCGGGAGTTCGAGCCCCGCATCGGGCTCTGGGCTGATGGCTCAGAGCCTGGAGCCTGTTTCTGATTCTGTGTCTCCCTCTCTCTCTGCCCCTCCCCCGTTCATGCTCTGTCTCTCTCTGTCCCAAAAAAATAAATAAACGTTAAAAAAAAAAAAAAAAAAAAAAAAAAAAAAAAAAAAAAAAAAGGACTATGGATTAGATAACACTACATATTTAGTTTTACCCACCTACTTACCCTTCCCATTATTATTCATTAATTTCTGTATTTTGGTATTGTCATTTCAAATTATTTTCCTTCTGATTAAAAAAAAGCTTTTAGTATTTCAACTAATGTAGGTCTACTAACATGGAGTTCTCACTTTTTTTCTATATTAATTTCACCTTCACTTTTGAAAGACATTTTCACTGAATATAGAGTACCAAGATGGCAATTATTTTCATTTGGTACTTTAAAGTCATGTAGCTTCTATCATTCATGTATGCTATCACTGTTATTGCTATTCCCTTTGAAAGCAATGAATTTTTTCCTCTGCCTGCTTCTAAGTTTTTCTCTTGGTTTTGTTGTTGTTGTTGTTGTTGTTGTTTTGATCTTTAGGAGTTTAATTTTCTCTCCTTGTGGAACTCTAATTACATATATGGTTAACTTCTCACTGTGGTCTACCTCTACTATACTTTTTGTACCAATTTTATCTGCGGTGCACATGCATGTATTTGTGTGTGTGTGTGTGTGTGTATTCAGTTCTTCTATATGTAGCTACCCATGAAAACCTGAAAATAAGTGATCATCACATGACACAGGATACTTTTAAAAAGTAGAAAAGGAGGGACAAAGGAGATGTTAAGTCTTATTTATACAAAAAAATATACCAATTCTACTCAGAGAAGTTATCAAACATAAAAATTTAACTCATAATACACAAACAACTGCTAAGATAATTTATTTCTATACTGCTCCCGCCTCTTCTAATACTACCTATTTTTCATAGTGACATTTATCACCCACTCTAGAAGACATCTCCATTAGGCATAAAACCATAAGTACATCATTCTATAAGCACCTATAACCACACAACCTACATTTTATTTATCTAAATTAAAATCTCCAACATCAGGAGCACCTGGGTGACTCAGCTGGTTGAGCATCCTGACTCTTGATTTCTGCTCGGGTCATGGGATCAAGCCCTGCATCAACACAGAGCCCACCTGGGATTCTCTCTCTCTCTCTCTCAAATGAAATAATTCTCTAATATCAGATATTAGCTAAATACTAAATACATAAGAGCTATTAAAGCTTTTGCTAGCTTCTCCCTCCCTCCCAAAAATGAATGGAAAATAGACTAGAAGATATTGCATATTATTTTTCAATTTACCTGTGCTTTGGTTCATCACAAGTCTTGGAGGAGAACTTGTTTCTTCAGATTCTTCTGATGAGTGTGCCAGGAAGTCATGAAGCTTCTGCACCAATGTATTCAACTTGCTTTCACTATTAAAACAAAAAATTTAAAGAACTTCCTTAATTAGCTTGTCATATATTTAATCAAGTGTAAGGGTCTAACAAACTGAAAACATATCTATACTGTAAGTCATCTGAAAGAAAGCATATTCAATATACAAATTTAAAAAATGAATGTTAATTATTTCAGTAAGGATTTGAAAATATAAACAACCCAACCTACTTTATACTTACCCAGGATCAAAATATAATTTAAGGAAAAAGCTGATGAGATTTTGCTCTACATCGTTTACAATCGAATATATTTACTAAACACTCCCTGGAAAGCTTCTACAGTTTTTTTGTTTATCATTCTGTCTTCTGCTTGTCACAGAATAATTGTATAAATGACACAAAGATGAATAAAATTTAAAACAGGACTTAGAAGAGCTCACAGATTCCCAGGGAAATATTTATGCAGCTTAATTGTTACAGCATATCCTGCTAAGTTATATAATAGGTACATCTGTAATCCAACAGAGTTATACAAGTTAAAATTTAAAAATGCACAAAAATAAACATGTACCCCAATTCTAGTATGTTTTCCTAAACTTTTAAAAGATGAAAAATAGGGGCGCCTGGGTGGCGCAGTCGGTTAAGCGTCCGACTTCAGCCAGGTCACGATCTCGCGGTCCGTGAGTTCGAGCCCCGCGTCGGGCTCTGGGCTGATGGCTCAGAGCCTGGAGCCTGTTTCTGATTCTGTGTCTCCCTCTCTCTCTGCCCCTCCCCCGTTCATGCTCTGTCTCTCTCTGTCCCAAAAAAATAAATAAACGTTAAAAAAAAAAAAAAAAAAAAAAAAAAATAAAAGATGAAAAATAGATAAAACTCACTTCATTGAAATTTAAAACTTTTGTGCATTAAAAGATAACATCAAGAAAGTAAAGAGAAAATCCATACAACTAAAGAAAACTATCTTCAAATCATATATCTGAAAAGATATTAATAGCCTTTTATATAATATATATCCTTTAATAAGACAATATATATCCTTTAAAATGATTTTTATACTTTTAATAAAGAATTTTTACAATTAAAACAATAAAAGAAGACCCAATTTAAAAATGGGCAAAGGACTTAGATATACATTTCCCCAAAGAAGATATACAAAGGGCCAGTAAACACATGAAAAATGCAGGGGCACCTGAGTGGCTCAATCGGTTCAGCGTCCAACTTCGGCTCAGGTCATGATCCTGTGATTCATGTGTTTGAGCCCTGTGTCAGGCTCTGTGCTGACAGCTCAGAGGCTGAAACCTGCTTCAGACTCTGTGTCTCCCTCTCTCTGCCCCTCCCCTGCTCATACTCTGTCTCTCTCTCTCTCAAAAATAAATAAAACATTTATACACATGAAAAATGCTCAAGATTATGAGTCATTAGGACAATGCATTAGGTGCCTGGGTGGCTCACTGGGTAGAGCTTCCAACTCTTGATTTCGCTCAGGTCGTGATCTCACAATTTGTGAGATCAAGCCCTGCTACTGGGTCTGCAATGACAGCACACAGCATGCTTCAGATTCTCTTCCTCTATGCCCCTCCCATGCACATGCACACGCTCTCTCTGCCTCAAATAAACACTTTTTTTTAAAAAGGAAAATGCAAATCAAAACCATAGTAAGATACCACTCTTTAGAGTGGATATAATTTTTAAAATGAAAAATAAGAGTTGGCAAGTGTATAAAGAAATTGGAACCCAAATACATTGCTGGTAGAGATGTAAAATGGTACAGGCACTATAAAAATGTTTAGTGATAACTCAAAAAGTTAAACATAAAGTTTCCAAATGACTCAGTAATTCCATTCCTAGATATATATCCAAGGGAATAAAATCACATGCCCACACAAAAAATACTGTACACAAATGGTCATGGCAATGTTCATAATAGCCAACAAAAGGAGAAAGTACCCAAATGTCCACCAACTGCTAAACAATAGAATATTATATCCCAATAAAAAGGAAAGAAATATTCATCCTAAAGCATGCTAAAGCATGGATGATCATTGGAAACATGCTAAAAAAGGCAAATGCAAAATGCCACATATTGAATGATTCCATTTATAGATATAAAATGCCCAATATATGCAATTCTATAAAGACAGTAAGATTAGTAACTGCCAGGGGATAGAGGAAGTGGGGTATTGGGAGGTATGTGTTATTTTGGGGAGGCAATGAAAATTTTCTAGAATTACAAAGTGTGACAGTTGCACAATATTGTAAATTTGCTAGAAAAAAACATTAAATTCTAAACTAAATTGATGTAAACCGTGAATTTTATGTGAATTTTCTCAATAAAAATTGCAAAGAGAGGAAGATATTCAAGAATCCATTTATATATTTAAAGGTAATACCTGCATATACACTTCCAAAAAATCCATAACCAAAATTTAAAAGGCAAACTAACTTGAAAATAAGAATATAAAAACATCCTCATTAGATTTTCTAAAAATACTAAATTCCTAGTAAGTAAGTGAATAAAAAGAAACAACTTTTTAAAAGGGAATACAATGGAGTAACAAAAAATTGGAAGAAAAAGCACTACAACCTCACTAGTAATCAACAGAATGAAAATTAAAACACTGTGAATCAAGTAACAGTTGTTATCAGTCCTTCCTGGGCCAGGTACCACCACCATTCATGCAGTGCACTAGGCCCACCCCAAGGCCAGTAGCCCCCTCTGCATCATTTTCCTATGTTTGGTTAGGGAGAACCCAGGATATTAAGGGAAAGAAAAAGAAATGAGATATACCAGACATAACTGCAACTATTTTCTTTCAATGAAGAAAGTTATTTTACAAAGTTCCGAAACAAACTTGCCTCTAGAATAAAGATCCCAAGAGTGTATGATTTCTACTTTTTCCCATAACTTTGCTTTGGAAAAGTTAAATGTACAAAAAATTATCGAGTTACTCCGAGTCCTTAATCTTAAATTAGAAAATGGAACCAGATCAAAAGATACTATGTATCAACCCATGGCACACAGAATTTCTTGTAACCAAAATTCAAAAATAAGAATATCGTTCTATATTCTTGTCCCATCAACAGATTATAAAAGAGAAAAAAGTTATTCTTTAGAAAAGAGTACAGCAAACCAACCAAATAGTGATTTTTCTCACTCATTCCAACCACAAAGCCAGCTATCACATGAATCCATGCTGTAGCTGACCAAGGTCAGGACTGTGGATAAGTCAGCACAACCCATTAATATTACTACTACCACATGTAAAAATTAAAACAATTGAATACAATCAGTAGAACTTTCTCCTTCTGTGAAGGATAGCACTTTTAGGCATAAACATGTTTGTCTTATATTATAAATTAAGAAACCAGGTAGAAGCCAAATGATAAAAACATGTGGATACTTAAAAAATTTTGCTCATTCTTTTGAAAAATCTTCTTTGAGGTGGGTGGGATTTTTGCAAACAGCTAAATGTCATTTAGAGTCAAATATGGTGAATTATCAGGTTGGATAAAATAACTTTTTTGCCGAAATCTCAAATATTCCTTAACATTTTCTTGCATGACTTCTACATTGACTACAAAAGGAGAGTTCCCAAAATGTCCTCAGGAATAACATCATCACTGATATCAGTATGGCCTACTGAGAAGGGAAGTACCCATCTGCATATAGAAGCTCTGATGTCACCTTTTAAAATCTGCCTCGTTCCTAGAATCACACTTTTTTTAAGCTTACTTTTTTTTTCTTTTTTTTTTAAATTTTTTTTTAACGTTTATTTATTTTTGAGACCGAGAGAGACAGAGCATGAACCGGGGAGGGTCAGAGAGAGAGGGAGATACAGAATCTGAAACAGGCTCCAGGCTCTGAGCTGTCAGCACAGAGCCCGACGCAGGGCTCGAACTCACGGACCACGAGATCGTGACCTGAGCCAAAGTCGGACCCTTAACCGACTGAGCCACCCAGGCGCCCCTAAGCTTACTTTTTTTAATGTTTATTCATTTTTCAGAGAAACATAGTGCAAGTGGGGGAGGTGGGAGGGGCAGGGAGAGAGTGAGACACAGAATCCCAAGCAGGCTCCAGGCTCTGAGCTATCAGCACAGAGCACAACATGGGGCTCTAACTCATGAACTGCAAGATAATGACCTGAGCCAAAATCAAGAATACATGCTTAACCAACTGAGCCACACAGGCGCCCTTGGAAACAGTATTTTAAACACAACAAACCATTTAAGGAGAGACAGACCAAGTGTGAGCAGGGGAAGGGCAGAAAGAGAGGGAGACACAGAATCCCAAGCAAGCTCCAGGCTCTGACCTGTCATCACAGAGCCCAATGCAGGGCTCGAACTCAGGAACTGCAAGGTCATAACTGCAAGGTCATGACCTGAGCCAAAGTCGGACACTTAACCAACTGAACCACCCAGGTGCCCCCCAACAAACCATTTAAAATGTGACACTTATCAATACTTTTGTAAACTAAACAATCTTCCTAAGGCAAAACTGCATACATTTATTAGTTTCATAACTGTGAACTATTACAAAGGATATTTGTATTAAATCCAGACATGATTGTCACTCTCTTCATCCCTCTACTAAAACGTGAAGCTAACTCAACCAGTACTATATATGTTACTTAACTGTAGGTCCTAGTCCTTAAAACAATCTTTTTAAGAGTGGTTAAAAATCTGCATTGAGGGGGATGCCTGGGTGGCTCAGTCGGTTGAGCATCCAACTTTGCCCCAGGTCATCATGATCCCGCACTTCGTGGGTTCGAGCCCTGCATTGGGCTCTGTGCCGAAGGCTCGGAGCCTGGAGCCTGCTTTAGATTCTGTGTCTCCCTCTCTCTCTGCCCCTCCCCTACTCTGTCTCTCTGTCTCCCAAAAATAAACATAAAAAAAATTAAAAATTAAAAATCTCCATTGAGAAAGAATGTGTACCGCCTTCATGCTCACAGTTACACAATTATAACATGGGCTTGTTGCTGATGACCTGTAAAAATTGACCTATCTGCCAGTGGATCATAAAAACTTTAATTCCTACTGTA